AGAGAGAGAGAGAGAGAGAGAGAGAGAGAGAGAGAGAGAGAGAGAGAGAGAGAGGATCACTCTGCTGTTTTGGCAGATCAAAATGCCACATCCAAGGCAAACTTAAGATTGTTCTAAACTACCAGTCCCTTCGGCAGCCATTATGGCTCATTTAGTAGTTTTTAGTAATTTTTACTTCTGTGCAGAAGAGGCACCAGTAGAGAGAGAGAGGGGATAAATTTGCTGTTTTCAGTGTTTTGGCAGATCGAAATGCTACATCCAAGGCAGACTTGAGATCGTTCTAAGCTACCAGTCCCTTTGGCAGCCATTTTGGCTCGTCTTTGCTTCTGTGTAGAAGAGGCTCAGAGGTACTGGTGATTTGGGCACATGCACAAATCAAAGCCAAAATACTTATAATTGCTTGCATATGCATGCAAAAGCCATAGGGGCAACAACTTACAAGCCGGCCTTCGTCTGTGGTGCAGCAGCTCTGTGTTTCCAGAGTCCGTATAGTACATCCTCCTCGTTCAGCAACTTGTACAGCTCGGCAAGGGCATCATAGCACTGTGCACAAAAACAAAGGGGAAAAAGCAGCATCAGATACACACATTATGTCCAACTCATGGCATACTTGCGCATGAGGTTTTTGCAGGAGCACTGTATGTTGTCCATCGTAAGCCTGGTTTCTTACCTGCTAATCAGGGGACACAGCAGAGCGCATTTGAAAAAGAACGTTTACGACATGTTTCACAAGGCCTTTCAACTTTTGACATCTTTTTTTCCTACCTGAGATCCACGAGAAAGGTTATCAACTACGAGACTGTTTCGGTTCATCTACCAAGATGAGTCATTTTCCTTCCCTTTTCACAATCGACACGAACATGCTCCGGATATCACCTCGGCACTAGGCGCCCCTGTCATGCATCAACCTCTCACCTGCACATCACACTGAAAGAGACTACGAAGCAGAGAAACAAGAGAGCGGTGAAACACAGTGAAACCACTCACCTGAGGGAACAGCATCACGTGGCACTCTAAGAGGGGGATAGCAATATGCCATGCATTAAAAGTCTTCCCAAGGAACTTGATGAGCTCACTGGGGATTTTAGGTTGTGGCTGACTCAAAGATATCCCCTCCAGGAGGGCCTGGACAACATTCGGACGCTTGTCCAGCTGCTTTACATGGTAATCCTTGCGCAGAAGTGCAATCATTGGCTTCGCAAGAAGCATCTGATCTTCCTTGGGTAGTGTCGCCCACACAATGGGGAAGACAAGAACCCAAAGATGATACGCAACATTTGCATCTGTGTGAGCTAGCTCTCGAAGAGGATGAATAAGATCCGCAACCTGGAACAAAAAAAGGAGAGAACGAAAGAAAAACAGTCAATCGGATGACAAACAAGTTGAATATGCAGAGAGGTTTCCAAAGCTGGGCAGCTGCTCAAGGACACCTGCAAGTTATCTGAAGATGTGTGCGCTCAAAAGAATGCAACCTTACAACAGAGAGACCCTGCCTCTAATCGAAAGCACAGAAGGTTACTCATCAAATTAGAACCATACTCGCAACCGCACCGTGCGCTGTACAGTGCGACGCAGCACCTGCTCGTGCCCCGTACCAGCAGCAGTTCCCCTTTTTATTTTATTTTTTTGCTGTTTTTCAAGTTTTTGTAGATACAGAAGAGTGCACCACCTAAGGAACGGATCTTTTTCAAGTATTACTCTCCCGCTTTTTTTTTGTTCTTGTTTTCCACCCCACAACAAATCTTCAAAGGGGACGTAGGTGGTCGACCCAGGCATGTAACCCCTTTTCTTTCTGAGTGAGCTTTTCCCCCGTGCGCCGCACCATGCGGGTCCGCTCGTGCGCCAAATGTGCGGAATCTTCCGCATGGCATGCACTTGCACGTATGATTAGAACACATAATAGACACTCATCAAACAACTGTGTTTGCAATCAGACTCGTTTTCAAACACACTTTTCACACATGTAAACAGTAACGCAGCACACTGGCGACATGCGCCCACTCCCAATTGGCTATGGCGACCTCAGCGCACAAACATCTCACTGTTCACATACACTGGATCACCCTGGATATCCCACACGCATCACTSTAACACTCGAGCACACACACACACTCACTACTAACTATAGCTATGGCAGCTATGGCTGCCTCTAACCTATCGCTATGCTAACTCCTCCTCTCTTGCCCACTGCGTCCTCCGGGCTCATCTGCAGACCTCCTTGCACAAGTCGCTGTGGCAGCGCTTCCGCATGGCTCAC